AAACGGTAGCCATAAGGAATCTTCCTCTTCGTTGTATTGGGTCCTTTCAGAACTCTTTTCCATTAACTCATTCCTTTGGAAATCTAAACTCTTTCATATTTTTTGTTTTAATTGTACCCCACTAAAACTAGCAGTCAAGTTATTCTAATTCAACATTTTGTACCCCACATTTCTTCAATTGAATTATTGTTAAATCATAATACATGCTCAACTTACATTCAATAAATTAAAACAACAAATAAATCACATTCACATGAGAAGCCATTAAGTACTACTTAAAAGTATTCACAAGTTTAAGTAGATCAAGCATAGCAAATTCAATGTAGTTTGACACACCAACAGGTATTTGCATGTCTTCTTAATAAAACCTCTCCATTTATGGGAAAGTTTTCAAAAAGGGATGCACCTATCATTGGCTACAGAGATCAGTATCTCCAAAGGATCCAGAACTTACCACCATGGCAGAAAGGTAGGAAGTACAGAATTTCAGATTTTTCCATCCTCTGCTAGTTCAGTTTGATTATTGTTGGGATTTCAAACTGCTTCTACTGAAACCAGCTTCAGGAATGACATAGCTCAGAAACCATCATATTTCATTGCATAATAGTGGCACACCACCCTCCGCATTTTGGGTGGGTGGGCAAACTTGCCCAGCTCCAGTCTGCCCCTTCCAAGCTAGATCCACAGCTCAAAAGGGACAGGCTAGGGTAGTGGTTCTCAACCTATGAGTCCCCAGGTGTTATGGCCTACAACTTTCAGAAATACCAGTCAGTTTACTACCTGTTAGGATTTCTGGGAGTTGAAGGCCATAACATCTGAGAACCACTGGGCTAGGGGGACTTACTGGCCTCTGCTTTCCGATCTACAGAAGTTTCCCCAGCCTGCCCGCCTCCTTTCCTTGGCATTGTAACCCTGTAGCTCCAAAAGAGTAGTCACACCCTTAATTCATGTGTCTGAGCGAGTGAACTAAGGGTGCGACTATTACACGAAGAAAGGCAAAATACCAATTTTACCTTCCCCAAAAAAGGGTGTGACTATTATGTGATAGTGATGATTGCGCCATGAAATATGATACCCCTCATGATAAATTCACTGTCATACCTACAACATGTCTCCAATTTTCTTTCGTTTGTGTTAAATTTCCTCCATCATAGGGATTGCCACAGGGGACATATAAAGATAGATCTTTTTCATCATCTTGAAAGGGAAGGGAAATTTCTAGTAAATCTAATGTTCCTTAAATACCCTCTCACATCTATAGGGTTGCAGCATTATGGCATTTATGTGTTAATATATGAACTAAAAATAAGTCCTATTGAGTATAGGTTATTCTGGACAGAACTTCAGCCTAATGGACCCGAAAAGTGCTTATCACACAATATTCTTATGAACTCTGTCACATGTTATTACCGTATTAAGTCAGGTAAGAAAGAATTTTCCAGGCGACAGGTGTTTTCTGAAACCAAATACAACTTTCTTTTCAACACTCAATGAGAACAACACAGCAGCTGCAAACATAATGCATAGGGCACATGGCCTATTAGACATGCAGAATAAAAACATTCATTGTCTAAATTGTTAAGGTAAAGCACAGATGCTGCAGCCATACCACTTCCAGTAAGGCCACCAACATTTCTGTTTCGTGATGTCAAGTAAGATAGTAAACTTTCAAACAAGTTAACAAGGAAAAGTTAAACTCATTAGAATACCTAGAAATTATCCAACATTCAATATGTATTAATTATGGAAGACTATTAATGTTATTTTTTATACATTGATAACCTCACTCTTGACATCAAACGTTAGATTTTCAATATATGAAAAATAATACTAATATATGCACTGATATATTTTGACAGTACAATACATTGTTTTTAAATATTTAAATAAATGACAAATGTGCTCAATTTCTATACAATAGTAAAGAATTTCCTATTTCTTAGCATAGGGATAATAGTGTTGGATATGGTTAAGAGAATATCAGGCTGAAATATTCAATAAGTCAGAATTTTTAGACATCTTTCTTAGCTTACCTCACATACTAATTTTTAGGGCAAAAGGGGATGGGAATAATGTAGATTTTCCCTTCTCCCAGCCTCCTTAACAGGGTCTGTGGCTTGGCGTAAGGCTGCCAGGCTTCTAGGTGTCAGGTTACAGGTTATGTTGTGGCTGGAAATAGCCACAACACTGGGGGGGGGGGTGTCCCTGTCCAGTGGCATCGAACTGTGTTTGTCATGGCTGGGCAGTAGGGACTACCTGTCCCCCCACAAGCAGCTGAAGGAGTCCCTTTCAGGTCACCATGCAGGCTTAACCTGGCGTCTGAAACATTGAATTGGGCCCAAATTATCGGTTAGAAGGGCTCTAACAACTTCATCACATGGGTCTTTGCAAGAGTTTTAGGAGGCTTGCAAAACACTTCATCTACAGAGCCCCATGCTGCCTGTCACATGATGCACACTCACTTCCAGTGGGACTCCCTAGATGAAGTGTGACACAAGTGTCTTAGAACATTTCCCCAAGTACATGGGAGGCTTCTGGTGTTCTGTAGGGAGCAACAGGGCTAGTACAAGGGGAAGCCATGCAGCGATGCTTTCCCACATGTGATGGGGAAGCAGCGCTTTGGGAGAGGTGGGGAGCGGAGCGACAGGATTGCCCCACTGCTCCACGGATTCGCCACGGAGGCTGGCAAATCTCCCCGCTGCCCCTTATCAATGTGATGAAGTCCTAAGACACAACTCACAGGGAATAGGAAATGGAAGTAGAGGAGGGAATTGTGTCCAGCAGGAAGTGCTTACTCTGTTCACTTTTTAAGGCCAAGGCACTGTCATTTGGGATGGAGGGAAGGTCATTCCTCAGCTGCTGCGTCTAGGCATGATGGAACTGTGCCTCCCTCTTCTTTTCTCCTTTGGAGGCCACAAAAAAAAAAAAAAGTTGAGATGAGGAGGGTCATTAATCTGCTACTGAGGCTAAGGCAAAATGTGATTCCAAACTGGTATCCATTTGATAGATCCTAGTAAGGCCGAACAGGACATAGGGTTACAGCCTGTGCTTGACAGGGTGATACTCCCCCTGAAGGTGCAGGATCGCAGCTTGGGAGTGATTCATCACTCATCAAGCCTAGAACCCCAGGTCTCAGCAGTGGCCAGGGGAGATTTGCACAGTTAAAGCTTGTGTGCCAGCTGCACCTGTACTTTGGGAAGTCGGACTTGGCCACAGTGGTCCATGCTCTGGTTACATCCCATACAGACTACTGCAAAGCTCTCTATATGGGGTTGGCTATGAAGACCATCCAGAAGCTGCAATTAGACCAATACTCGGCAGCCAGGCTACTAATAGGAGTGGGGTACAGGGAGTGCACAACTCCCTGGTTTCGCCAGCTCCACTGGCTGCCAATTAGCTTCCAAGCACAATTCAAAGTGCTGGTCTTAACCTATAAAACCCTATACGGTTCCGGCCCAGTTAACCTGTCCAAACGTATTATCCCCTATGAACCACCAAGAGTGTTAAGATCATCTGGAGAGGCCCTGCTCACCACCTTTGCAGTCGCGTCTGGTGGGAACAAGAGACAGGGCCTTTTCTGTGGTGGCCCCCCGGCTATGGAATTCCCTCCCGAATGAAATTAGATCTGCCCCCTCCCTCCTGACCTTTAGGAAGCTAGTGAAAACCTAGCTGTGGAACGAGGCCTTTGCAGAATGATGGTTGAGACTGGTAATTGACCAAAGGTATTGACCACAGTATATGGACTGAATATACGAACTGAGTTGGACATGTTTTTATCTTGGCGAACAGCTTTTATGTAATTTATCTTATATGTATTTGTAAATTTACTGTCGATGTATGATGTTTTAGATTTTTCCTGTTAGCATTGAATCCTTGCTGTCAGCCGGTCTGAGTTCCTCTACGGAGATTGAGGATATCGGGATATAAAAGTTTTAAAGAAAATAAATAAATAGTTGGATGGATTTCCATAAATAGTAAAAATGTAAGGCCTGAGTAATTACTTTCCAAGTGTGTACCGAAAACCAAGCCCAGCAGAACCACATATTAGAACAAATTTCTATACCATGCGTGGGAAAAACTAACAACGGATCTACTTACTTGGAAAGCTGCAGCATATTTTGTCACTGATTACTATTTCCCACATGAGATAGCAAAACTATAGAGCGAAGTGGCAGAAAATCAATTAGCCTACTACAGTGTATACTTGCTCATTTTGCCATGCTGTCGATTTTAAGATCTGATAATGGACCACAATTTATTGACATGGCTTTCAAACGTTTTGCAATTAGCTTTGATTTCAATGTAACTCCTTCTAGTGATGAAGAATTAGAAATGGGCAGTTTGGACAGTGAACAACTTGCTCCAAAAATAAAGGGAACATACAGATCCATTCAAAGAATCAATAAGAGCAATCAAACAAATCAGTTAAAGTAACAACATGTGACTTCCAGCATTAGCAGAGTAGAAGACATTTGAAGATTGTGGATTCATATGCTATGATATGGATAAACGTCAGAGGTAACACGGTGAGGAATACTTACATGTATCTTCACATCACCTTCAAGGATCCTGCTGTTGTTTAGAAACTCAGCTGCACTCCCATTCATTATTCTATCAAATGCTTCAACATATGGTGCTATATCTGATGGAGAGAAAAATATCACTAACTGGTTGATAAGGTTCATTCATTCAGAATGCCCTACTTTGTCAACTAAGAAAAATATATAATACATCTGGAAAACATTTATCACAGAAATTGGTACAGATTTGACCTGCAGCATTTTGTTCATGCAAAACTATAGTACACAGAATGAAAAAGTGACAAATTCTTCTTATATCAAACACAATGGAGCAATTTAGATTTATCCTTTCTGAAATGCAGCATTTATGCTTTAAGTCACATGGCATCTCTTTGCAACCCATGTAATAGAAATGCCCTAGATGTTTCTCCTTAAAACACTACTAGTGACCTACATAAATTGCATGCCTGCAGAATTACATTCATGTACTTTGAGGCCCCTTCTACACTGCCGGATAATCCAGGTCATCAAAACAGAAAATCCGCATTTTCTGATTTGAACTGGGTTATCTCTGGGTGGTTCCACGTAGCCCTTTAACCCGAGTGCAATCCGTTTTAAAAACGCTATTTTGCTCGTGTTCTAGTCCATCCCTGATTCAGTTTGGAAAACTAGTCCAGCACATGCTTTCTGGGGAAAATATCCAGCTGCCCTCCTGGAAACTTCTGAGAGGACAGAAAGACAGCCCCCATCCCCTCCCCAAAACCCCTTAAAATTGGGGGGGGGGGAGTTAAATAACTTCCCTAGCTGCCATGAAACTGCTGCCGGACCTCTCCTGTCACATACAAATGATGCGCCAGGAGAAATGATACAAATGGTACGCCTGGGCCCCGCTTCTCCTGGTGTGTTATTCGTACATGACAGGAGAGCTCCAGCAGCAGTTTCATGGCTGTTGGGTAAGTTATTTTGTCGTCCCCCCCCCCCCCCGTTTTAATCGGTTTTGGGGAGGGGGTGTAAGACCTCAGAGTTTCCCAGGCTGATTCAGCCCGGAAAACATGAGAGGACTGTGTGGACAGCATTCTTGGAAATCCCAGAACTTCCAGAAAGCAGCCATAGTGGGTTTGACCCGCACCTTTTAAGAAGGCATGGATCTAATCCACTATCACTATCTAATCCACTTTTGTGAGACCTTTTCATTTTTTTCTCAATGAATACACCGTTTGCAAGGGGAGGTCACCTCTTTACTTTCGATTCTCTTGTACTCTTTTTTTGTTACTCCCCCCCCTTTTTTTCTTTTCTTTTGCTTTTAAAACATATTTTATATTTCTCAGAGTTGACTATAAAAATACAGTATTACAAAATCATTATGACACAATGCGACAAGGGAAAAAGGAAAGCCCACCCAACAGTAAGTAAACAGAAAAGAACACATCACCCGTTAATAAACTCAGCATATTCTAGTTTACATACAACAGCTGTGCAAAATAAATCTCAACAAGCTGGAAAACCACTATTTACATTCCCAACTTTCTTGGCAAATGCTACATGCTCACTTCTGCAACAATTCCTTCTTCAGCTAATTTCTGTCTAACCCAACAGATATTCATTATACTAAGGGATGCTCCAGAGAGGTGGCTGTAATTCTTAGTGTTTTTAATATCCAAATGAAGCTTCTATTCTCTTGGAATATGTTTTGGCAATTGCAGGTAAAGGTAAAGGTTTCCCTTTGACATCAAGTCTAGTCATGTCCGACTCTGCAGGGTGGTGCTTATTCCATTTCTAAGCTGAAGAGCCAGTGTTGTCCATATACACCTCCAAGGTAATGTGTCCATCATGACTGCATGGAATGCCGTTACCTTCCTGTCGAAGTGGTACCTCTTGATCTACTCATATTTGCACGTTTTCGAACTGCTAGATTGAGAGAAGCTGGGGCTAACAACGGGAGCTCACTCTGGTCATGGATTTGAACCGCTGACCTACTGATCAGCAAGTTCTGCAGCTTAGCGGTTTAACCCACTGCACCACCATGGCCCCTCATAATTAATGCAGTAATTACACGTACCAGCTGCATTAATTCATGCTCACATTCACATACGTTCCTTTTAATTAGATAACATTATCAGAATAAAAAGGCCTCATCCTCTCTTCCTTTTTAACAACAGAAATATCTTCTTTGGTCCCTTCTACACTGCCAAATAATCCAGATTATCAATTCTGATAATCAACATTATCTGCTTTGAACTGGGTTATATGAGTCTAACTTCCGCATAATCCAGTTCAAAGCAGATAATCTAGATTTTATATGGTAGTATAGAAGGGGCCTGAGTGTGCTGTAATGCATCAACAAAATGCAATTTTGCACTGCAACTCTATAAAAACTCATCCCACTCCAATTCAGGAAAAAATCCCCTTGAAACCCTACAACCACCTCTGCAAAGAACAGTTTTAAAAATCTTTGGAAACGTTCTAGTGCAGAGCCAAGAAATCACTACAACCAGCTTCACCCACCCTTTGAATTGAATGAATGGACACAGAGGTGGCAACCATCAGCAAAACCCAAGGAGCTATATTACAAGAACTGACACTCCTTGGGCCAACCTGTAAACCCGATAATTTACAATAGAAATACTGAAAGTTCAACAGAAACATGAAACACTGACAACATATCTAGCAGATTAATAAAATAGCTGATCTTTAGTAAGGATATATCCATTACATTGTGGTTAAAATGAAAGCTGTCACTGAGAATTTCCTACATGAGCCCACAAAAATTTCTTTATTGCTAATTTAAGAGAAGGCTGGAGGCGGCTAGGTATCATTTGGCTTCTTTTAGCACAATCGCTGCACCACATGTCATCTAGTTGTTCAGTTCTGCATGTACCGATGAGGAATAAAGCTTCCGGGGGGAAAGAGAATCCTACCTCCATTGACTCCATTAACAGCTCCACATTCCATGCCAGTGCCTTGGTGTGAATGTGACAACAAGGATTCCAGCCTAATTACAGCATTTTCCAACCTTGCCATCAAAGCCATCTCTGCCATTCTGAAAAGGAAACAAAGGCATCAGTAATATGATCTCTCCCATTTCAAGTGTGGATTTCATCCGAACTTTTGAACTCTCTTATCTAGATTAATGCTCTCTCAAGTTGACAAGTTAATTATTTGTGTTATTTGTTCTCTAATATTTTTGACTTTTGAGATCATGGTTCCAAAACATCTTTTATTTGTTGTCGAAGGCTTTCATGGTCGGAATTACTGGGTTGCTGTGAGTTTTCCAGGCTGTCTGGAGATGTTCCAGAAGCATTCTCTCCTGACGTTTCACCTACATCTATGGCAGGCATCTTCAGAGGTTGAGGACTCTGTTGGAAACTAGGCAAGTGAAGTTTATATATCTGTAGAATAATGTCCAGGGTGGGAGAAAGAACTCTTGTCTGCTTGAGGCAAGTGTGAATATTGCAGTTGGCCACCTTGATAAGCATTTAACGGCTAACATTTTTGATTAATGATTTAAAGCATTTAATGATTAGCATTTATGGATGCCTGCCATAGATGTGGAAAAAACATCAGGAGAGAATGCTTCTGGAACATGGCCATACAGCCCAGAAAATTCCCAGCAACCCATCTTTAATTTATTTCACAGATTTCACACTGTTCACTTAAGGTTGTAAACATTTCATAACCTTAAGTGAAACAACTGTAAACCCTTAAGAATTCAGAACCTGCAATTAGAATGCTACTAATCTGTTTAAAGTCTCGTCTATGAACTGTTATGGAGACAGTGAATGCTTCAGCGAGAGCTGTTCAGCAGTGGAACTCTCTGCCCCGGAGTGTGGTGGAGGCTCCTTCTTTGGAGGCTTTTAAACAGAGGCTGGATAGCCATCTTTCGGGGGTGCTTTGAATGTGATTTTCCTGCTTCTTGGCAGGGGGTTAGATTGGACGGTCCATGAGGTCTCTTCCAACTCCATGGTTCTATGTCTTTAAGTTCAAGTTTGCGACTGCTTTTTTCATGCAAAAATATGTCACAATGTAAATTAATTTGGCGATTTTGGAACCATGAGAAGGAAACCTGTCCCTCAATTTTTGTTTTGGGTAGTTGTTGCTGGGTTTTTGTTTTGTTTGATGGAAAAAACCGGGGTGAATAATATGAACATTATTTACCTTCACATCAAAAAACATACTTTAGCAGTTTAAGAATAGGTTCCCCATAATCGTGGGACTGACAATCATGGTATCACTTATCCAGTTTCACTTATTTACTGAGAGGCTCCTGTACAAACCACACCCTCTTTGTGGTTCTTCCATCACTTCTCCCATTGAAAATAACAGGTTTCATTATTATTTGAGTTTCATATACTCATATGAAGTCCAGGCATGGATAGTCCCAACACTGGCCAGGACTTAATGTGTTCTGTTGTTCTTCTCTTCTCAGAAGACCATTGGGAAAGCACTTCTTTCTTACTTGAAATAATCCACTAGTGACTTCATTTCGTACTAATGTGCTGCTACTACTATTTCTGGTGTGAAAGTCTCACTGTGATTCATTGCAATTTTACGTGATCATGTCATGCTCTATGAGTTTGTTGTGGGCCTGACTTCAAATCTTTCATTTGCGTCCCTATCCAGGGCAACTCCAGTCTATTTCTGGTGGTCAAGTGAGGGCCCTTCCACACTGCCATATAATCCAGAATATCAAGGCAGATAACCCAAAATATCTGCTTTGAATTGGGTTATCTGAGTCTGCAGCCCTTTAGATATTACTTATATGCATGAGTTTAGACATCTATCTACCTTCTGCTTGGTAGTTTATCATGTTCCTCATTAACAACAATGAAATGCATTCATGCTGATTGAGGCTACATAGTATTACTATAAAATATGTTGAACACTTTCTCTCCCAAAAATCTATACACCAGCCTTCAAAGGTATATAATCCAGAATACTCAAGATAGCTCGTATAGCAGAAATGAGAGCTGAATTGAGAGAATAATGGTCTGCCTGGTTGATGCATTACATACATTGATGAGGTAAGATTCTAGACTTAGCAGTTCACATCCTTGGTGCATTAAATCACCTGCTAATATCTAAAACTATTCCTTTACGTCTGGATTTTTTAAAAAACTGCATACACCAGGCATGGGCAAACTTCGGCCCTCCAGGTGTTTTGGACTCCAACTCCCACAATTCCTAACAGCCTACCGGCTCTTAGGAATTGTGGGAGTTGAAGTCTAAAACACCTGGAGGGCCGAAGTTTGCCCGTGCCTGGCATACACACTAAAATATAAAGAATTATTGTTAAGCTATTGAGCATGTTGGCCAAACATATAAGAGAAGATGGCTCCAAGAACAGTTTGTAAGAATTTGGTAAACACTGATGTACCAATGGTATACCACATTCCGAAAGTTAGTGAAGTGCTATAAAAATATTCAGGAAAAATGTTGGAAATGTGAAAAACATTTGGGTACCTTTTACCACATGTGGTGGACCTGTGGAATTGCAAACATCTACTGGAGCAATATACACAAAAAGATATTTTAAAATATTGAATGTAAGATTTCAAATGAAACCAAAATATTTACTTCTGGGAATGACAGATATGGACAAGAATCAAGATATTCTATTTAATTACTTTGTAACGGCAGCAAGAATAATCTACGCAAGAAGATGGAAGATCAAAGAAATCCCAACAATAGAGGAATGGCTACTGAAAATTGTAAACATTATGAGTATGGACACCAACTGTAGAACGACCAAGGATCTCCCGAAAAAATGACTGGACTTTGTTTAAAGCAGTGGTTCTCAACCTTCCCAATGCTGGGACTCCTTAATCCAGTTCCTCAAGTTGTGGTGACCCCCAACCATAAAATTATTTCGGTTGCTAGTTTATAACTCTGATTTTGCTACAGTTATGAATCGTAATGTAAATATCTGATATGCAGAATGTATTTTCATTCACTGGATCAAATTTGACGTAAATACCCAATACGCTCAAATTTGAATACTGGTGGGGTTGGGGTGTGTGTGTGATTTTGTCATTTGAGAGTTGTAATTGCTGGGATTTATAGTTCACCGACAATGAAAGAGCATTCTGAACTCCACCAATGATGGAACTGAACCAAACTTGGCACACAGAACTCCCATAACCAACAGAAAATACTGGAAGGGCTTGATGGGAATTGACCTTGAGTCTGGGAGTTGTAGTTCACCTACATCCAGAGAGAACTGTGGACTCAAACAGTGATAGATCTGTACCAAACTTGGCACGAATACTGAATATGCCCAAATGTGAACACTGGTGAACTTGACATTTGGGAGTTGCAGACGCTGGGATTTATAGTTCACCTACACACAAAGAGCATTCTGAACCCCACCAATGATAGAATTGGGCCAAACTTCCCACACAGAACCCCTATGACCAACAGAAAATACTGTGTTTCCTGATGGTCTTTGGCGACCCCTCCACGTGACCCCTCCAGGGATCCCGACCCCCAGGTTGAGAAACACTGGTTTAAAGACTATTTGAAATAAGAAAAAATGAAAATGATAACTTAAATATTAGTTCTTTTTATTGAGAGAGGAAATGGAACATTTTAATAAAGACTGAAAATTAACAACAATCCACCACCTTGATGGAAGAGATTGGAAGTCATCAACTCCCCCTTCCTATTGATTTTTTTTCTTTTTGCTATTTTCCTTTCATTTCTACCTCTATATGTTGGGTTCAGTGGAGCTCCAGACACACACACATGTATACATACATACACACACCTGTAAATAACACTTTGTTCCCCTTTTTAGTCTGTATTTAATAAAACATATTTTTAAAAAAGAATTTGGTGAGCACTGAAATCTTAAGAAACACCTTGGGAAATGACAGGTGAAAGATTAAGGGATCAGAAAGCAGGGTGACCCAGAGATCAGCCCATTGGAAGATCCAATAGTTCTCCTTAATCATTATGTACATGTGGTATCTCTGTTTTGTTTTTGTTTATGCAGTGATTGGAAACTCCTGTCAGTCTGAGGATGAATCTACACTGCCATATAATCCAGGTTATCAAAGCAGATAATCCAGATTACCTGCTTTGAACTGGATTATGAGTCTACACTGCCATACAATTCACTTCAAAGCAGATAATCTGGATTTTCTATAGCAGTGTAGAAGGGGTCTCAGGCCCTTCTAAACTACTAAGTAATCCAGATTATCAAAGCAATTAATCCACATTATTTGCTTTGAACTGGATTATATGAGGCCCCTTCTACATTGCCATACCAAATCCAGATTATCTAATTTGAACTGGATTATATGGCAGTGTAGACTCACATAATCCAGTTCAAAGCAGATAATGTGGATTATCTGATTTGATAATCTGGATTATATGACAGTGTAGAAGGGGTCTCAGGACGTTTTAGAATGGGGGAACTTCCCAACAATTGCATCAGGATTACAGATTCAGGAAGGCCAGATTCAGCTCAAAGGATTTAGGTTCCCCACTGCTGGTTTAAGTCAAATATGGAGAAAGAAAGGAGCTTTAGGTGAAGAATAGGGGCCACCAATACTCAATTTTATTAAGGGGTACACTAAATTAAATTCCATTTCAATGTGTTCTTGAATTCTTGGGAATTTTTGGAATCTTATACAGCTTCTCTAGGTTGCGCCAATTAGCAATAACACCAACCAAACAAGAACTACAGGACTGTCATAAGAAGTCAGATCAATCACCAATGTTTTAGGGTGACAAAGGCTCCTTTTCCTCTACTAATCCTGCCAGATTACTGAACCAACAGGCTATGAAAGGAAATCCCCACCAAGCATGGCACATGTATGCAATCACCCAATATTCAATGCAAAAACAGTGTAGTTTGCAAATAATGGACTTTCCACTTTAGAATACCAATCTAATATGAATAGTTATAAGAAATCTACATTTTTGACACTTAAATCTAATGTCTTCTAACACAATGGCAGACAGGATGTCAATCTTTGTACATAGCAACCAGATTTTCTAGTTGTCCTTCAGATCTTTAATACTGCTTTTGCACATATG